TTTGGGGTTTATAGGGTTCAGGGTTTATAGGAGCATACACCCATGTCCGACCTTCGCGACGAAACGTGGGAAGGAAGCTACCCATAGGCCCCTTAGTGGTTCCTTTTTGGGGTTACCTAATAGGATTCTATATATGAACCCCAAAAGGAACTACTATGGGACCTATTGGTAGTAAAATGCCTGGGGGTGCGCGTGTTCGGGAGTTGTGGGTCATCGGAGAGCTCTTTTGGTTTGGTCACATTGTGGGGATCCGACACGATCTTGTTGTGGGCTTTCTGGGATTCTTCGGAATCCTTGCGAACGTGTGTTGTCTGCGTCTGCAAGCGGTTTGAGCATTAACGCCGTTAACCCCTTAGCGCCTCGGCCCTCAAGCCGAAGACCGAGACCGTTCTTCAAGCAAAATCGGTTCGCAGTGAATACTTTCCAAAAAGCACCTGAAAGCCCCGTAGAATCCTTAGAGTCTTGGTGCATGAGCATTGACATCCACAGGTCCTTCAGCTGCTGACGGAGGTCGGTGTCAGCGCAGTACCCGAGGCGGCAAGCTTAGGTTTTCAGGATTGGAAGTCTTCGGGTGTGGGGATGCCCTAATATAGTACCCCAAATAGTAGGATCCTTATTATTATACGGACCCCCAAAATAGGGTACCCTAATTCCGGAACTCCCATGTTGAGACGGGGATGCTGCATAAGCCTTCATCCTTTCCAGTGCTCTTAAACTGGAAGCTGCATCCGATGGCGCGACTTTCATGCGGCCCTGAGCTGCAGGACATCGAGTTCGAAACGGGCAAGGGCCACGAACCTTGGCACAACTGTTGTTTGTGAACCTGCGCCCCTGACACCCGATTTCTGCAATGTTCATGGGAGGGCTTCGTCGCTGCTTCTGTGTCTATATAGGGAGTTGGGAGTGGTTAGAGAGGGTCCTGCGAAGAACGAGGCAGAATTGGTCCGGAAACACGCGAAGCCTTGCCTCATCTGAGTGTGAATTCCCATCTGCAGTCAGAGGTGCACATACACCTTTCGGGCTCAGACATTGGAGTACGCTGTAGGAATGCAGTTAGGAGCTGTGAGCATCGGGCCTGGACTCACAGCGACTGAGGCAATGCCGCGGAAAGCACAGCTGAGGTGCAGGTGCGTCTATCGGAGGATGCCGCCAACACCGCTCTTGGGCAGCTGAATGGCCGGCTCTGGCACGGAAGCGCCTGAGACACAGGAAGTCACTTAAGTGTTCCGAAGTTGAAGATTCACAGGTGATAAGTGACAAGCCCCAAAGATGGTATCTGCTACTTGTAGGTTCCTTCCTTTCATCTGCAAGTGAGATGTGGTGTTTGGAATGTTTGGAAGATTGAGGATGTGGGGTTGGTGAAGCCGGCTATTTCAACAAGATTCTCAAAAGTCCATGGTTTCGCATCATGACGTTGGGGCAAGGACCGTCAGAGTAGGGACCATCGGTTGACTTTGGAGCTTTACTTCAGAGGATCTGTGGAGTGCGTCTGCAGTCTGTAGCTGCTCTTTCAGGGAGCGCAAGCTGGTGGAGTGTACGTTTCCCGAATCAGCCGCAAAACAACGACAACTGGACGTGATTGGACGGTATACTCCCAGAATCTTCTAGGAACCCGGCACCTGAAGCCAAACTCGCGTGAACGCCCAGCCCCCCCAAGAGCCTGAAAGTGTGAGGTGCTCTGGTTGCCCTGCCGCTGTCTGAAGCATTGGCCAAGTTTGTGGTCCACCGTGCCCTGGCCCATCCGTTCCCTCGGAAGCGGAAGGCTTTTGTCTCAAGACTTTGCAGACCCCACACAGTAGACTCAGGCAGTCCGAGTTGATGTCCGAACACCAGATACCCTCCACTCGAACGCGACCCCCAAGTTTCAGTCTTAATTCCAGCATGGCTCTCATATGGCTGTTTTTCTTCGGTAGCAGACTCGGAACTCACCGGATAGGTCCAATAATGGGGACTGCAGGGAAAGCAATCTAGCCTTATAGCGTGTAGAGTCATCCCGAAATCCCATAGATAGCAGGGTCCAAATCTTACTGCCGAGGTCGAGTGCGGAAGGCGTTGAAGGAGCTAAAAGGCAGGGCCATCGGCTGCAATCTCAAGGTTGCATTGTAGGATTGTCGGATGGAGCGTATGGGAAGTTCGGACCGGATCGCCCCCTCCAAACCGAATCAAGCTTTCGGCAGGCGGCCCAGCTGCGAGTTACGGGGCAGCAACGAGTCCCGTGCTTTGCGGTGTTACTGTTGGTCCACACATATTGAAGTCTTTTCAGCATTCGTCGCGATCCTCGACTGTTGTCAATCCTAGATGCTCCTTCCCCGCGTCTGCTTGTCCATGTCAGCTCCTAATGCTTGGTGTGTATGGTAAGGCCTAAGTCGCTGCGTTGCGTCACATTTTCCAGGCGGCAACAGACCATCTGAGTTCAGGCTCTGAGTGATTATGCTTCTGTACGGTCGTTTGGGGAGGAGGGCGGGGCAGGGCCCAATCTCAGGCAAGGGCCTGCGGTCCTACCACAACTTCCTCTGGCCACAGCCACCTTTCCGGGACCCTGCAGCGATGAGGAGGGATGCAAGACTGGGAGTTGCCATTGATGTTTCAGAGGGTTAGGAGCTGAGCCAGGGAAGGCCAGGATTTGGGAGCTGAAGTTTTGAAGTAGCTGGGTTCGGGGGTTTGAGGTGCGATCCAGGGTTGAAACTTCGGAAAGAGACGGTAAGGAAGGCGCCATGGAATGGCTTGTAACGGCTTCGAGCCGGTCTTTTCAAAGCCTTCCTGGCCCCCAGTGTCCCTACTGTCACTATGATCTGCACATCACCCAAGATGGGCACCCCAAGCCTGAACCAAAGCAAAAAAGCGAAAACAAAAAAAATGATAGCACCGGAAGACACACTCTCTCTCTCTCTCTCTCTATATATATATATACACACACACACACTGCCAAAGCTCGAAGCCGAACACTGAACATCGGCCTGAGGCTTGAAACCCCGAAGCCCTAACAGACCACATAGAATCCTACATTGACCCCTACTAGGCCATGTAAAAGTCGACCGTTCTAGCCAAGCTTCACATCCACATGAATTGTAACATGACTAATCATCGTCATCGTGATAGCAACCAGAATCCTGTTAGGCTAGTACTATGATGATTGTTAGTCTTTATGCTATTATCAAATTATTCCTATTCCTATTCCTGGGTTTAGGGTTTAGGGCCCTAAACCTTAAACCCTAAACCCTAAACTCTAAATCCTTTACTCTTGTGGTGTACCGTGGTGCTACCGAGAGGCAGCTCTTCCACTGCTCGGCCCTCGGCTTAGACGCGCAGGAGCGAGAAAAAGGCCGGCTATGGGGATCTTCAGGTGGGTTTAGGGTTTAGGGTTTGGATGCTTTTTTGTCCGGGGTTCAGTGATTCAGGGGTTTAGGGTTATAAGTTTAGAGATTTAGGGCTTCAGGGCTGTGTAGGGGTTTAGGACTATAGGGGCTTAGTGGGGCTGAGGATTTAGTATTTAGGGTCTAGGGTATTTTAGGGTTTGGGATTGTTGTTGGGTTTAGGGTTTAGGCTTCTGCAGACTGTTTCGGGTTCGGATTCTGGGTTTCGAATTATTAATTGAGGGTCGAGCTAGGATTCAGTGTAGGGGCTTATGTTGTGCGTTTAGGTTTGTGAGGTTTTCGGGGTGATGTTAGGGTTTAGGGCCAGTCTATAGGGAACTCCAGCAGGCAACTCCTTGTAACTTGTCATAAACTTTGGAGACTTTGCAGACCGCCATTAGGTCCCAAAATGCTACTGCAGTTGCGCCGGTAAAGGCTTCTGATAGTCCGCGGAATCTCAGAATTCCTTCGGAACGCACAGCACATCGTCTTAACAGACCTAGATGCCTCAGCCACCCGGAGTGAAATGTCAAACCTTTCAGCTTTTGCGTCCCAGACCGGGCCTTGCAGAAGCCTCCAAAGTAGGCAGCCTTCCCCCAACGACCATCGATGCAGGGAGGGGGATCGGGGTAGCTTTGCAACCTGAAAAGGGCCCTCTTAAGAAACTCTGCGGCCTTTGTGGTCCAGCAATGGCTGTAGCTGAGTGTCTAAAGGACAAGAAATAACGGCACCTTTGTCTAGAGCGTTCAAACATAGTTGTCTGAAGTTCAAGTTGTGAGAACGGCAGCCGAAAAGTCGAGAACAAACTCTCCAAGTGCCCCAGAGTCTAAAATCCCGGATCCGTACTCCCCAAACCTGGAAGTGTTTGCAGAGAAGAGGGGCCACACAGGAAAGCCCAAGGTGCGTCAAGTCAGAACCCTTGGCCGAGAATCAAGTGTAAAGCCACGAAAACAGCAAGAAACCCGGCGCTTCCGGAATCCACTCTGAAGCCTTGAGCCCCTTCAAGGCGCTTCGACTCCTGTCAAAGGCGATAGAACCCTGTAAAGGCCCGAATTCCGAAGCCCACACAGGGAGCCACTGGTCTGATTCAGACTGGACAGCTGTGACCTTCGTGGCTGCAGACTTCGGCCCGCAGCAGGAACGGACCGAAGATCTAGTGGGGCGATCTGGCTTTTGGTTTTTGGGCTTTAGGGCTACGAGTTTTGAAGGGGCTTCAGGGACTTGATCGGACTTTCGGGGTTTAGGGCTTCAGGGTTTTGTGGCTTTCGGGCTGAGGGACAGTAGTGTTGAGTTTTAGGACTCAGGGGTGTCAGAGCTAACGGTTTGAGAGTTCAGGTATTGTAGTTTCGGAAGTTGCGGGTTTGCGGTTATACAGTTCGAGCATATTGAGGTTTTGAACGAAGGATCTTGCTCGGCAGAACAGTGGCAAGCATCATGATGAGGGGACATGGGGATGATGACGGCGTTGGTGGTGGTGATGATGATGACGATGTGTGTTCAGGAAGCGTCTGACAGCGTGACACCTGCGCCCTACTTTCGAGTCCTCGCATCTATAGAGAGCATGCTACCTCTAGATAAACCGGGAGCTCCCAGAGATGATTGCTGTAATCGGATTTTCGAATCCAGCACCAGCGTCTTTCGCTGCAGTTGTCAAGGTTTGAGGGTTTTGTGGACCCGCTTCCAGACAGTGCTGTGTACAGTGCACAGTGGACAGCAGCACTGGCCATGGGTCGTCTTGATTTCCTACCTCTGCCTAATGGATGCGATGATGGAAAGCCTACACTTTCAGAAGTCAACAGAAGCTCAGGGGCCCTTCTGAAGAGTTTCGAGGGACATGACGTAGGTGCTCTCCGAAGTCGTTGCCGGTACCTCAAGTTCCTCCGGCTGCGGAGCTCTGCTCGAGCTCGAACCGTGGCGCAAACTGTGCCAGAGGATTGCCAAGACCAAAACTCAGCGAAGGAGCTGAAGAGGCTGCGTTTCTTGCATGCCAAAGCAGAGGACATGCTCGCAAAGCAAAGCGCGAGGCAGCGGTGCGTCAGCCTGGCCCATGCCAAGGGCCTGCGCCGAAGAGCACAGCGGCCTGGCAGAGGTAAGGGCGGCTGCCCAGGTCTTTTAGCTCCGGACTGGCCTCTGACCGAATCCACAGCCCGTCCCTGGTCTGTTTGGCCCGAATTCGGCTGTGAAAGCACCCCTCGCCGGACTCCAGTGCCTGGTTGCCAGCGCTTTGCACGCTGGCACCGTGCCCTGGAGCTTGCCGAGGAAGTTGCCCGAAACTACAGATATCCACTCAGGCCTTGCCCCTTCGAGGCAAAGCTGGAAGAGGCGCGGCGCCAGCTGTCCTCGGACGCCTTTGATGCCCTGCGTGCCGAGTTTCTGCGCAGGCACGGGCGGAACATTCTCCAGTCGCTGACGTTGAAGACGAAGCTGAAAATTCGGAGTCTGTCGCCAACGCCTTTGTCCAGCAGCGTCCGCAATGGGTTTCTGCAAACATACTCTGAAGGCAGGGGCGGGGACTTGCTCCCCACATTCCACGGCACCAACGTCTCCAACCACGCCTCAATCTTTGAGCGCGGCCTGCTGATCCCGGACAAGGATACAAACGGGCTCATGGTCATCCATGGATCTGCACATGGATTGGGGACTTACAGTGCCTCCCTGGAGAACCCGCTTCTGGCCTTGGGCTTCGTGCGGCCATACAAGTCAGCTTTGCTAGTGTGCGGCGTGGTGGACGACACGGCCCCCACGAGCTGCGCAGCCTCTAGGACTTACGGCTTCTGGTCATGCACGAGAGAGTCGCAGCATGTGCGTGTGGTTGGCGACGCCGTGATTGCCCTGAAGCCCCACCGCATTGCCCCGCTCTTCACCGCTAATCTCCGTCACGTGGAGAAGACTCTGCATGCTAAGCAGCGGGCCCGCGCACGGCGCACGCGGAATGCTTCGAAGGCATATCGGCATGTGCGATGTAGCGTCAAGCTGGACCCCTGCCTTCATCCGTGGCACATCTTGTTGCGAGGAGGCAGGACCTCTGGCGGATGTATTTTCGTGACCCGGGCCCAGCAGGACCGTGCAAAGATGGAGTGGGCATCGATCAAGCACCACAGCTCGAAATGGCTGAAGGCACATGGCTATTGGAATGCCAAGGCTTTCAAGATTTTCTGAGGCGCTAGTCTCTTAGTGTCACTTCCAGATGCTGTAAGTCAGGCTGAGGCTGCGGGACGCATTGGAACAGTTATTGATTGTTATTTAGACGGCGATGTTATCTATGTTGTGTTCTTTCCCGCTCCTTCTCAAGACACTTCCATGTCTCAATGTACAGACGAGCTAGACTCGACCAAAACAGGCAACCCCGGGAATCTGTGCTAGGTGAGGCCGTTCTCGGTGCTCTTGTCTATTGCCAGGGATGTTACACATATTCCTGTACTAGGTTTGAAACAAGGCATTATGTTAGAGGCATACAAACTATCACGTATGGTTGTCTATAACCTGATATGACTGATATGATATGACATACTTGGTATGATATAGTATGTTACCGTATAATGCAACATCGTGGAGTATAGCACAGTACAGCCATACGTAGAAGATGGTCCAAAGCATGAAAAGAACAACACAGTGCGATTTTGCTGAGGTTTTGGAGTCGAGCCATGTCAGGAAGCCAGCCGAGGGTGAACCCTGGAAACTCGAAGCTTGAGGAAACCCTTGGAGTGTGGAGTCTCGCGACCCTCGCATGTTGGCGCCCACTGTAAGTGTAAAGTAGGTGTAATCTCAGTTCACTGACTGTTACAGAATGTTTCCTTTAAAACTGCGTCCCTTCGCACCGACTTTCCCAGCGGAGGGACAATTGATGAGGAAAGCCCTAAACCCTAGCGCCCGTGAACCGAAAGGCGATGTTGAGCAACTCCTTCCCGACCCCGACACTACATGCTGGGACTTTGTTCCAGCATTCCCACTTACAAACTACATAAACTGTCGGTGCAAGTTGTAGTAAAAAGATATGACTCGGCCCCTCAGCACTCTCACACTCAGCCCCCAAAACCCCTCGTCCCTAACCCCTAAAAGCACTAAGCCCTGACCTTAGTGTTGGGATTTCGTCTCACAAGCCCTGACTTGTTCAGCGTTTCGGCTTCTGCGAGGTGCGGCGGATGGCCGGAGCTCTGGTGGCCGTCGCCCGCGGTTCCGAGGATCGGCCGACAGTCAGCTTGGGGTTCTTTTGAAGCAGGTGAGGGTTTAGGGTTTAGAGTTTAGGGTTTAGGTGAGGGTTTTCAGGCTTCGGGAAGAGGGCTCAAGGTTTGAGGTCTCCGCCTCTCTGCATTTGGGGTTTGAGGCTGAGGGCGTAGGGTTAGGATGGATGAGGCAGGATCCCAATATGGTACACACCATCTAATGTGCTCGAAGTTTCTGTGCCGTGTTGCTGCCTTTGCGACCACCACTGCCGTCAGGGTTTCAATTTCGGGGGCGGTGTCAGTCGTCAGGGTTTGCTTTGTCCCTGCAAGGTGCTTTGCTGTAATGTTGATGGTATATGTCAGCTAGAGGCTTCGGTGCTTAGAGCTCTGCTGCCCTGTGAAGCTCGCACTGGGACCCTAATATAGTACCCTAAATAGTAGGATCCTTATTATAAGGACCCCAAAATAAAGTACCCCTCACTGCTTACAGTTGTATTCTAGCTGGACTTGAAGGAAAGCCCTTGGTTTACTTTCCGAGGCCCGAGGGTTGAGGTGAAAATGTCGAGAAGTTGCGAGGCATGGAGTCTCAGCTTCTAAGTCTAAGGGCTTGAGATTGGAATCCTGGTTTCGATTCTGCTTCTCGGATATCTCCGAAAACTCAGCATCCAAGATGTTCTGGGAAGTCCCACTAGTTCTACCACAAGCTTTTTGTTGGAGCTCTTCGTCCCATGGAGCCGTAAACCCTAAACCCTAAACCCTAAACCCTAGAGAGCCGTGCGCGCCTTTGGGGCGGAAGCTGCTCAAAGCGACAGGAGCTGACCTACATCGCTCGGTGCTTCGAGGCGGAGGCCGTTCATGTCCCTCCCGTGCCCGCCGAGGCCAGCTTTGAAGCAGGGAGATGACCCGAGGCTTTCTGTGAAGTTGCCCCAAGTCGGCGTTGTCCTTCAATAACATTCTGGTAGCACAGTTCTGGGCAAATTTGCAGAATATCGATCTTCAAGCTACCGCAGCATATATCAGGATGGGTCACGCCTGGGATTGAAGGGCACTGCATGAGTTTGTGTTCAGCAGTGAGCAGCCCCGGTCTGACCAATCGATGGTCGCATTGCAGAATAACGAAACAGTAACTGGTATGCTTGGCAGCACGGCACTGCCGAAGATCCCTTCTCCCGGGGCCTCCTCATCCAGCCGCCCGTGTAACAGAGTCTGGGTCCTGACTGGCGCATGGGGTGTGTGGTGGGCTGCGAGGCCCTAGGAGGCATTGGCAGGCAGCATGCGGGTAGCGAGCAAAAGAAGAAGGAACCAAGGAAGGAAGGACAGGAACCAAGAAGCGACAAACCAAAAGGCAGATGAAATATTTGGAGCGGCAAATCCCAAACACCAAAACGAGATGTTGAAAGCAACAACACGACCCAAGCCTGGTACGAAAAATCCCCAGAATGCCAAGCCCTAAACCTTGAAGGCGAGATGCAATGAGACGACCCCCGAGTTGTTAACAGCAGGGCACGGCCTGTTCACCGAAAGCGTGACACTGCACTAATTGGGTTGGTGCCTAGCGTGGACAGCGCGCCAATTGCTGCGGTTCTGTCGATCTGGCGCAACTCCTACAATCAAGGCTCTTGCCCTCGTCACTCCCATGCTTTGTGCTTGGCGGGATGCTGCATCAGCGAATCATTCAAGACTTCAATGGCCTCGATGTGATTCCGCTCCCGCTCTCTCGAACTCCACTCCCTTGTGCACTGCCACGGTGTTGCTTGGCATAGCTGCATTGACTGCCAAGTCAGGCGTGTTGACGACAAGGGTTGGCACAGTTCAAATCGGCTATGTGCACTGTACGCGGCACTGGGGCATTCGGTGGAAGCACAGCGTGCAGCTTGCCTGTTGTGACGGACGGCCTTGGCTGTTCCTCAAATAATGAGTGACTACCTTCCTCTGACGAGCCTGCTTGCACCAACGCCACCAAGAGCAGGAATAAGTCAAGAGGTCCACCCTTAGCTGTCAGCCCTGCTTAGGCGGCAAGTCCCTCCGCATCGTTCGAGCACTTACCCGGTACTTGCTGAGACGATGCAGAGGAGGGCGAATACCCTCGAGCACTTGCTGTCTGAGCATGGCTCACCTTCAGCACGCTGCAGCCAGGTGGAATCACAGGGGGTGGAGTGCAGGTGACACATTTTGTGGACCACTACTGGGCTTTACGTTTGCCAGTGCTGCAAAGATGCTGCAGGACCGTGATTGAAAGCTGCGCTGCTTTGTTGCACCCACCTGACTAGAGCGTGTTGAAGCTTCTTGTGCCAACAAGGACATTCCTCTAAATTTCCAACATGAGCAATCCCTTCCTCTTAATGTAACCGCCCCCAAAATCTTGCAATTCTTTCTGGTGCCAACCCATTTACACAGGCCCCAGGATAGCGGTTTGGAAAGGTGGATGAGGGTTTAGGGAAAGCCTGAACATCAGCCCTCCCCTCAACCCACAACTTGAAGCCCGAAGTCCTGAAGCTACAACACGTACGTCTTACATAACCCGCCACCCTCCACCCCACAGTCGGAAAGTTGGCAAAAAATCCCAAACCTCAAAGCCATCGACCGCAAACCTTAGAATCCCCGTAAAGGTTAACGTTCAAATCGTTAGACTTCTGGCAAGGCGGTTGCACTGGAGGCCGTCGAACTAGGTCCCGCAAGTGCGGACTGGCCACTTGCCTTGAGAGTAGGGTTCAAAGGGTGTGTACAAGATCGTATCAGGCTGTTTGTCAGGCTGTTTAGAGGCAGTGCCAGAAGGTTAAAGCTCTGTCGGAGGCACATCTAGAAATATGCATGGACAGATACTTCTCACTGATCTGATCGACTTATCTGCCACGAGCAGCTTGTCACCTGCGACTCACATCTTGGACCATTCGAAGCCATTTGCCGTTGCAAACGCTTCTGCCACGGGTCGACTTGCAATTGTGACATGCTGTGTCTGCACATTGCACGTGTAAGGTGTCTTTCTCTGTGAACCGGCCATGTGGTGACAATGCGAAGAAATTCAACATGTGTACACACACACACACAGGCACAAATCGTGATTTCGCTCCGACCATGGCGCAGCAGCTCATTCGCGACCTGTTGAGAGGAGCGGAGGTCTTTGAAGCAGGAAAGGATCTGGCGAAACAGTACAGGATGATGGCTGTGGTCATCCATCCGGACAAGTGCCATTTGGATGGTGCCGCAAGTGCCTTTCATATGCTCAAAAAAACGTTTGATGAGAAGAACAAGAAAGCCAAAGTCTACCAAGAAGTTTCCGTGGAGGAACTCCTCAGACGTCAGGAGGATGCCCGAGAGGTGTCCCAGGCCATGAAGAACCTGCGTCAAGCCCGTGCACAACTAGCTGCTGAAAGAGACGCAGCACGGAAGAATCTTTTGGAAGGGACTCGAGAGAAGAATCAGAAGAAGAAGGAGAAAATCAAAGAGAAACAGAGGAAGGAGCAGGAGTCTAAAGCCGCTTGGCAGGCGGCCAAGGAGGAGAAGGCCAGGGTCGCAAAAGGCAATCAGAAGAGGGCCCGGATCGAAGGAAACCGCAGAAATCATCCAGGCTGCGCTGCGCACTCTGATGCTTCCGGGTCCATGGACGATATCAACAGGCTTGACCATGCAAAGAAGGGTGATGAGGCGACTCAAGCTGTGGCCCAGACGGAAGCCGTGAATGCATCCTTGGATCCTGCCATGCAGGAGACAAGTGACAATTCGTGGTGGAGCTGCGTCAATGCGATATTTCGGGGCTACTGCCCCTGCAGCCGCTAAACCAGCACAGACGTTTCAAGCAAGCCGTGACGGCATCGAATATTTGCATGCAGACCTTCTGGGTTCTCTGCCGTGACGGTATAAAAAGTCTAAGTCTAAGCCTATGAGATCAGTGGAACTGCCGTAAAGCAGGAATATGCTAAAGGACTGTCTGCTTCGGCTCTTGTCGTGACCAAGACAATCCTCCCAAGTGCATGCGTTACCCGTCGTGACATCCCGTTGGGAACTTCGACAGGTTGTTTGCACGCAAGCTGAGGCGGGTGTAGTACTGTAGGGTCGGGTACGCAAATCTTGGGCTCGAGACCTCTGAGCCCAGGAGAGGATCTGCCCAGGTCGATTCCGGCGAGGCAGTCGGGATCTTGCTCCGCGTTTCCGACAGAACTATTTCTTTAAAGGACTTGGGCTTCAATAGGTAAGATCTTACAAGGTTTTCATGAGGGTTTCGCGGCTTTTTCATGCAGTCTCGATGCTCATGCCACAGTAAAGCCCACCCCACATCCGAAACCGCAAACCCAGGACCCTGAACGCCAAACAAATTTTGGGTTCAGGGCGGTTTACTCTAGAGTTCGGTTTCGTGTTTCAGAAAGCCTGCAATCAAGATAGCTGACATGAGATAACCAAGCAGCTTACCTTGCAGTTCCTCTTTTCAGTGACAGGCGGCGCGGATGCGCGCAGAGATCGATTCGCGCGTGCGTGCCGAGGCATGCCAGCCATGGAAGGCCCTCCGATCCAGGATTCAATGTCAGGAGTTTGGATGAGGATCTTTGTTGCACCTTACCCAATTGAGGATCTACAATCTAGGGATTTAGGGTTTGTGATTCTGGGCTGCCTGGTATTCCTTGCAGGATTGATGGAGGACTTTGCTTAAAACTTTGTCAAGTTTTCGATTTGACTCTGCGCATTCCGTCGGCTACGCATCCATCTTTTCTGTCTCAAGCTCATTGCCCGGGCCATAAGGCCCTACAGCTGTAAAGACTCAAGCCTTAAAGCGTCATGCGATGACGATGGTGATGATGATGATGACGAAATTGAATTTGTGTAGTTTTTGTCGTGATTTTTCCTACAATGCATCAACCTGATGAGGATTTCCTGGCGGGGCTGGCACGCGGCGTCACGCGCTCGGCCCTTGCAGCGGAGCTGGCGGAGGCAGCGCTGGCCGGCAATGCTCCTGGCGTGCTCGAGGCCCGGCTTTGGGAATGCCGGGAAGTATGCTTTCAATACATTCAATACAGGTTTCGGATTTAGGATTCCGGTTCAGGGGTGAAGTGTAGTGTAGGGAGTCTAATGTAGGCGCACATTCAGGAGCTTCCGGCCTTCCAAGTGAAGAGTGTTTCTGATCCCGAACAACTCCAAATCAAGCTCCAGAGTGAGTCCATGACGATGGAGTCACAGGCCGTCGGAGTTTCGAAAAGTTTGCCCGTCCTGACCTAGACCCTAAACCCTAAACCCTAAACCCTAAACAATCAAGGCAGCAGCCACTTCATCGGCAGAACTATCTTCGTGACTGCGACATGCAAGCTGCAGCAGAATGCAATCTGCACGGTGCTTCCTACACACCAGTCACTTCGTGAGCATGTGCATTGTTGCAGAGGAACACTCCAAACCTTCTCCCGACAGAAGCGAGGTCAACAGCTGTGTCGGGACACATGCATCCAACATCCCGAGTGGCTGAGAAGATGCCATCTTGGGATGATGCACTGGTGAGTGAGTGTGAACGGAACCAGAACCAGAACCAGACTCCGGACTTAGGGGGGGTCTTGGTATTTTGGCTTTTGGCGCTTTTTGAACTCTCTCCCTCTTCTTTCCATGAGAGGCCCTGGACAAGGGTGCTCTGCTGGATGTGCCGAACGAGTATCCGGATGGCTCCAGGGTTCGAGGATTTGTTTCGGAAGTTTTGAGGGGCGCGGGTGTTGTGGCGTGTCGGATTCTTCAGTTCAAGTCGAAGCGTGTTCAGGAAACAAGGTTTCGGGACTCCCGAGGCTACTGGAATGGAGGAGACCCGAGCCACAAATACCATTGTACTGCTAGACTAAACACTCAATAACCATGCATGTCCCTAAGCTCTGACCTCAGACAGTGCGATTTTCTCGACTACCTTGAAGCCACACTAGTGCGCATTTCGACGACGAGGGGTTCTTGACGAGGTAGCCTGCGTTTAAGGAATCAGATTGTGTTTGTTGTCATCTGCATGTATTGGTTTAGATTAGAGTCTTGTTGCTGGAAGCTTGCAAGCAGATGACGGGACTTGAGCCCTTTTCTCGGCCTTGTCTTTGTCTTGGCAATAAACAGACGTCCTAGCACCAAAGCGCGCAACTCGAGGTATCACGAGACTTGAGGTTCAGGGACCCATCACGATCAAGCACGCTAACTGAGAGCCGCAAAAGGTATGGCGAGACCGCCACGTTCCTGGCTGCACTGGCAGGCTCATCCGAGGTGCGCATGTTGGGTCTCCGAAGCTGTCTCCGGGCTTTCAGCGTTGAGTTCCTTCGCATATTGTCGTTGATGCGCATGTAGGAGATCCCACGCCAAGAATGGTTCCAAAGATCCTGGAAGCCCTTCGTCAGGTGATCCAGGTGCTCTTGTCTCGGAGGGCCGACCACACCATTCGCGACAATGCAGGCTTAAGCATCTCGGCATACCTCCGTCATCTTTCTCTTTGCGTTCAAGGCTTAATGAAGGCTCATGGGAATCCTGGAAATGGTGGTTAAAGCTTAAAGGTCCTCCTAAACAAAATGCTCGATGCGTAACTGAATGCCTGCGATGTACCAGGGCGAACTCTCCACGCTGCTTGGTTGTTTTGACCTCTGGATTTTTAGTTGGATGCCTTTGCTTGATGAGAGAAGTTGCTTGAAAGTGGCTTGTTCATGCTTTTGGTGTCGTTTGCTGCTGTTGTTTCTTGTCCTTTTCAATCGCCTCACAGCAGCTGATTCTGGTGCTGCTAGTGATACACTGTTCATCGAAATATATCAAAATTAAGAAAGAGAAGGTACAGAGATAGGCTGCAAAGGCCAATGCCTTTACCTTCGACACTTTTGTGAGCCAGTAATGCCATAGTGAACCTCTCTACTGTTGGAGATCAGCGCGCAAGTGGCGCAAGTGCTGTTTATTGTGATGACCTCAACATCAAAATGTCGGAAAACACCAAATTTTCGTTTCGACAGTATGGATGCTGCGTGTTGACGCAGAACCACGTTACTTGCAGCCCGGTGTCGATCACCGCTTTGAGAAAGAAGCCGTGCTAAACTCTCGCTTTGGAAGCATGTTTAGACGGATCCAGATTCGGATGCCATCCGTCTCTGTGAGCATAATGTGGCCTGCATGAATTTGCGTTGCCGGGATTTGTTTCAATCTTGGCATCTCGTTGTATGCTCAAGTGGTGTCGTCTTGTCGTACGCGAAAGTCTTTGTCTGCTTCCATGACATTGCAAGCGGCACCATGGTCGTCGAGTTCCAGCTTTTAGCTTATGCAACAGTCAAACAAATGAAAGATGTCAAGGTAGGGCACGCTTTTCCCGAGGCATCGTAAAGCCGAAGGCTTGGCAAGAAGGGTCCTGCGTGCTTGCTGATGCACACATTCACAAAAGCAAGCTGCTAGGTACATGCGCAAGAAGGTCTTGTGAAATCCTCCTGGAGGATCTCCGCCAGCACAGAAGCACACGCACACCACACACACACACACACAAAAAAA